TATATATATATTGAGCCTTATTTTGAGAAGTTTTAAAGCAAATGAAAAAATTTTTTGCACACAATTATAGAATTCGTATATCAAAAGAATAATTCCATGCAAAAAATATTTTTTTTGTAAATATTAATTATTTTTATTAATATTTATATATTAATAGTAAAAAATTTGGAATTATAAGGTATACAAAATGTTTTAAATCATTTTAAAGCATGTAATTTTAAATTGCAAAATACAAAATTTGAGCGAAATCCGTTTGAATAGTCCCCGAGAAATCAAAATTTAAAGAAGTCGTAAATTAAAAATTAGATTTCTTAAGAACTTCATTGGAATTCGTTAAAAATTTATTAATATTTCTTTTTTTTAAATAAGACATTTAAATTTACGAAAAGTAATGAGAGTGGAAAAATTTTAACGCTGAAAACCTTTTTCTTGTTATTGCAAAAAATACGACTTTAAAATGTTTCTGAAGTACAAAAGTTTTTTTTATTTGATATTTCTTTTATTTCTGATCACCTTTAAGTGGCTCAATCTATATTCAGGGAAAATTACAATAAATTCATGTCAGATTTAAAAATATTCTATCTTGAATAATTTAAATGCACTGAATTACTTCTCATTTTGTTAAATTTGGAGATAGTATTTATTGAAGAATAATTATAAACCGAATAACTCTTCATATTAACCAGATAATGTTATAAATTTAATCGAAGTATGAGATTTTTCTCTTTTTTAAAAATTTCGTTCAAATATGAAAAAATTTTTTTAGTTAATTTTAAAAGCCCTATAACTTTTGATTTTATATAAAACCTATATAAAACTAAAATGTGCAGTAATTAAACCATTCTTTGTAATTTTTTTCAGTCAATATAGTAACAGTTTATCGGACAATCTGATTGTCCGAATAATTGTTCTTTTTACTGCACTTTTACTAAAAATTACAAAAGTTAAAAGTAAATTGAGCTGAATAAATAATTTTCATACCATGGGTATCATGATAATCATAGTAAAATTACCAAATTTTATAACCTTTCCAAATTTTATCTAAATAAATACAACCAAATTCTATTGTTAATTTCACCAAAATCATTACCAATGCTTTTCGATAAAAATTTCTGAGCTTTTTGATGTGCGGTAAATGTTACCATATTGGGGTAGTTTTGACCATATTTTTTTTCTCAGTGTACTAAACATAATTACAGGTCTAAAAGTGTTTATTTTCTTCGCATGTCGAGTTACATTGAAACACATACAATAAAACACTATAAATACTACAGAAAATTTGATTTTCTTTTTTTATAGATAATTTATTAATATATTATAAATTAATATGTAGAGTTTTATCACTCTGTTGTATGAAATCTCAAAATGATTAGTGGATTTTTTTTTCAAAAAATGGAAGGTTTTTTATTTGAAATGAAAAAAAAAAAATTGGTACTCTAGTTGTATGAATATGCAAATTACGGGCGATAAATTTTTTTAGAAACCCTTTTGTAATAAGCAGCAGCATGTTTTTTACAGAACATGCATTCAGCAGCTTCATTGTTCCTTTCAATGAAGTTGCAAAACAAAAATTTTATTCACAAACTTCTAGTATTAAAAATTAAAAGTTAGGACAAAATTACCAGAATATGGTAAAATGTACCTTATTTTTGGCACTATGTAAACACCGCAAAGCTCGGTAGTTTTAAACGAAGCACTTTAATAAAACTAACAATAATATTTCGATTTATTTTCATAGATAAAACTTATCAAAAATAAAGAATTTAGTGATTTTCTAATGTTATTCATAGAGGATGGCATAAAAACAGTTTATTCGGTTAAATTTACTTTTCAGTTTTGTATTTTTCACTGGAGCTATAATTTTGAAAACCAGAATTTCTAGTAAACCGTTACCAAACGAACATAAAAATTACTAAATAAATGGTTTAAATACCTTACATTTTGTTATTAACTACCATAACTATGTTTTTATTTATTTATTTATTTGTATCAGATTTGTTATTACAGAATTATTATACATTAGCGGCTGTAATTTCACCAGATTTTTTTCTCTATGAAGTAATAAAATGTTATTTATGATATGAATTGAAGAACTGATTCTGAAGCAGTTCAATCAAAAAATCAATCAATAATCAATCAAGGCAATCGAGTTTGCCACAATGCTTGAAACCTATTGCCTTCTACTTAGTGGTCAGAATTACAAGGTAGCATTGATAACTGCCGTGTTAGCCCAGTGGTTAGAGAATCGTACTCTGGTTCAGGGGGGCCGGGTTTCGATCTTGGACTTCGCTAAGACCCACCGATTACGTATACGTACTAAACGTACGTACTAAAAGACTTTAGTACGTAATACGTACTAAAGTCTTTGGAATCGGAAGTCTTGTAGTTAGCACTGAGCAGTACCATGCGTACAGGTATTAGGAGAATATTTCCACCCCCTTCAGATTTATGTCTAAATAGAGTGAGTAGCTTCACAAATGAGATTCTGAGTCAAGACGTACTTTCACCTTTGCGGTGCTCTCGTTTCAAACAAAAGGCTCATCATCCTGACTTAAATCGTTAAAGGATTATGGCTGGAGAACTTGGAACGCCCAAGTGTCATTAGAAACAACAATATTATTCATAGCTGGAAGCTGGAGTTAAACTTTGATAGCTGCGCACACAAAATGGGTTAAAAAAACACCCACACAAGATTTTCGTTTCTACTTTTCCTCCACAAATAAAATGGAAGCCTTAAAAAAAGCAGTGATTTTAAATTTGTTTTTCTGTGTTTGAAATTTATGATAATAAAGAAGTCGAAGCTTTTAAATTGTTTTTTCCCCCAGTCAATCGGAAATTGCTATTTTAAACGGAAATTTTATCGCTTGAACAAAACGAGTAAAATATGGCGCTAGTTTATAAGAATACTTTAAGATATTTCCAAAAAAAAAGAACTTTGAATAATCTTTTAGGATACGGTTTTTTCTTTAAAAAACACTCTTTCATAAAAGTTTTCCAACGGAAGTTTAATTTCCGCCTCGTCAACCATGTTGCCAAAAGTAAGTACAATGAATTTTTTTCTCTTAACCTAGTTTTATGCAAATTGTATAGCATTCAAGTTCCAGATTTAACTTAATTTACAAAAGATATAAATTTTATGTTTAGTCATGAAAAGGAAAATATAAGTGAATGATCATTTAGATATAAAAATAAGAGGACATTTTTTAATTTACAAGTATTTATGAAATGCTATAAAAATGTATTTTTAGGTTATTTTTTTTAATAATGCATTTTTATATCTTGAACATCAATAATGCCTTTTTATGTTGCAACATTAATAAACAATTTTAAGGATTTACTAATTGCTTATGAATTGAATGTACTGAGCAGTCGAATATAAACGTTAAAACTATCGTTGTTTGGGAATGTTTTTAAAGCAACTTCATAGTGAATTTCTTATTTCGACTTAAAATAATAAGATAGATTTAGGTAATCAATATTTATACTTTGTTTGCAATTCTTTTTAGTGCTATTTGTTACGTTGTAAAATTTATTACCAATAACCACATTAATAAGTAACACTAAAGCAGGCATAGAAAATCAGTCATTAATAAAATATAATTAAAATGTCCTCTACTCAAATTAGTTAATATATTTAATGTTAGTCCCAAATCCCTAGTCAAAAGTTATAAAAGTGTTATTGTCTATTATATTTCTCTCTTTGCACACGGAGAAAAAAAATCTGGTAAAACTACTGTACTGTAGGGAAATAACATTTCTGGTAAAAAAAAGGAAACTATATTTCGGGTTTATGACCGTATTTAAACTTTTCATTTAGTTATTTTTCCGTTCGTATGATAACGGCTTATAGAAAATTATGGTTTTCAAAATTATAGTTTTTATACCACATATTAAGCAAAAAATATAAAACAGAAAAGTAAATTGAACCAAATGAATAGTTTTATGGCATAATATAAGGTATCATTATAAAATTACCAAATTTTATTACATATTATAAATAAAACCATGTTGTTAATTTTATGCAAATCATTACCAAATTTCTTCGTTAAAAACTACCGAGCTTTATATTTTTTCCATAGAGCCAAAAACCAGGAAAATTTTACCATATTTTGGTAGTTTTCACCGTACTTTTTCTCAGTGCATGCATAAATAAACATATACTATGACTATTTTCTTAAAAATAATACTTTTTTAAATTATGTAAATACTTAATGAATTAAAAATTAAAATAAATAAAATATTCGAAATATGCTTTTAAAATAAATTTAAAGCGATTTTATTTTTTTACGAAACATAATTCTCTCTTTGAAATTTTAAAAAGGAAAAGATTCTGAATATTACATCTAATGAGCATCCTTCGAACGAAAAAAAAAGAAATTTAAGTAAAATATTTCTCGGGTATTAAAGTTTCAAAAAGACTTTTCGTTAAGAAGTATCATTAAAGGAAAATATAAATTTTGACAGCTAATTAAAATGGAATTAGTAAATTCCATGAAGATGATTAAAGAAGAATTACTCTGACTTCTTTGAAAAAACTTTTATTCATTAGTGATTGGTTGCATTTCTAGTTCTATATAAATAAATTCAAATGTTTTT